ATCTCTTCATTTTATCAGTGTTTTTTCTTTCAATTTTATTAATCTCTCCTTTGGTTTTCGGGATATCAAATTTGGTATTTAATTGGGGATTTTTAATTTATAATTTTTCCACATTTTTTTAGTTGCATGCCCAATTCAGTGATCTGTTGTTTCTCTATTTTATTGATGTAAACATTGAGAAATAGAAATTTTCCCTTATGTATTGCTTTTTCTCCACAAGGGTTCTCTGAGCTACAGTGGCAGGCTCAGTGGGGCCTTCATCTGAGATAGGAGTCAGCTGAGGGATGTGGGGGGATTTCAAGGGTCACTGATCTAGGCATTTTTTCTCTTACATGGTCAAAAAAGGGTTAACAAGCAGCAGTTATACCAGCAGTTTTTTTCACAGAGTGAGTCCTTATCCCAGAAGCTGGGGTCTTTGGGTTTATCAAATAATAGATTATTATAGTTGTTGACTACTGTGTCTTGCATATTAAACCTATTCCACTGATCCACCACTCTATTTCTTAGCCAGTACCAAGCAGTTTTAATGATTGATGCTTTATAATACAATTTAAGATCTCTAATGCCTAGCCCACCTTCCCCTGCATTTCTTTTCATTAGTTCCCTTGATATTCCGGAGCTTTTGTTATTTCAAATGAATCTGGAAAAGAGTATGGCAGAAACTAGGCATTGATCCAAATCTCACACCATATACAAAAATAAAGTCAAAATGGGTTCATGATTTAGGTATAAAGGCTGATACTATAAGGAAACTGGGAGAACAAAGAATAATTTGCCTATCAGATTTATGGAGAATAGAAGAATTCATGACCAAACAGGAGACAGAGAACATTATGAAAAGCAAAATAGATAACTTTGATTACATTAAATTGAAAAGTTTTTGCACACACAAAGCCAATGCAACTAAGATTAGAAGGAAGGTAGAAAATTGGGAAAGAATTTCTACAACCAGTGTCTCTGATAAGTGCCTCATTTCTAAAATATATAGAGAATTAAGTCAAATTTATAAGAATGTAAGTCATTCGGGGCACGGACCCAAGATGGCGGAGTAAAAACAGTGACTTGCTTGAGCTCTCCCCCAATACCCTCCAAATACCTGTTAAAAATGGGTCTAAACAAATTCTAAAGCAGCAGAACCCACAAAAAGACAGAATGAAGCAAATTTCCAGCCCAAGAAAGCCTTGATGGTTGATCAGAAAGGTATATCACACAGGGCAGGGAGAGGAGCGCAGTTTGGCGTGGGTGTGCAGGACTCAGAGAACCTGCAGCAGGCCTCAGATGACTGAATCACAGGTAGCTGTGGTGGATTCCAGACCTCTCAACCCATGAAAGTCAAAGACAACTTAGATGGTCAGTGGGAAAAGTCTATTTGTGAGGTGAGAGAGAAGGTAGTTCTCAGCCTCAGTTCCCAAAGCAAGCTTGGCCCTGGGGTGGTGGCTGCTTCCTGAGCTTGTGGCCCACAGACTGAGGGGGAATCAAGTGGCTGATCAGAGGGGAATTGCAGAGGCCTCTTTGCCAGTGCTGAGGCAGGAACTCTTGCTTTTCCCATGTTCTGGGTAGCAGTCCTGGGGTGAGGAGGAGCGCTGGTGTGGTCAAGCTTGTAGTGGCTGGGGAGAGAAAATTCTCCTCACAGTTCCAAGACAGAAAAGACTGTGTATGGTCACTCATGGACCAGAGCACAGACCAGGAAAGGAGTAAACACCTCATCCCTTATCATACCACCTTGGAAGAACTGAAAATTTACAGGTCCCTACAAGTATCTGTGAAAACAGCTGAAGCATGGGACAGTACATTCTCCACATAGGAAGCAGATTCTTACCTTAACAAAGAGTTTAACACTCAAATAATTGGCTGGGATCATGAGCAAGCAGTGAAAAAAGAGTCAGAGTATATTATCTTACTTTGGTGACAAAGAAGATCAAAACACACAACCCAAAGAAGACAACAAAGTCAAAGCTCCTACATCCAAAGCTTCCAAGAAAAATATGAGTCAGTCCCAGGCCTTGGAAGAGCTCAAAAGTGATTTGGAGAAGCAAATCAGAGAAGCAGAGGAAAAACTGGGGGAGAAATGAGAGTGATGCAAGAATACAAGTCATTCCCCAGTGGAGAAATGGTCAAAGGATATGAACAGGCTGTTCTCAGATGAAGAAATTAAAGCCATCTATAGTCATATTGAAACAATGCTCTAAATCATTATTGATTAAAGAAATGCAAATCAAAACAACTATGAGGTACTATTTTACACCTATCAGATTGGCTAAGATGACAAAACAAGAAAATGATAAATGTTGGAGAAAATGTGGGAAAATTGGAACACTAATGCATTGTTGGTGGAGTTGTGAAATGATCCAACCATTTTGAAGAGCAATTTGGAACTATGCCCAAAGGGCTATAAAAATGTGCATACCTTTTGACCCAGCAATAGCACTTCTAGGGCTATATCCCAAAGAGATCAAACAAATGGGAAAAGGACCCACATGTACAAAAATATTCATAGCCGCTCTTTTTCTGGTGGCAAAGAATTGGAAATTGAGAGGATGCCCATCAATTGGGGAATGGCTGAACAAGCTGTGGTATACAAATGTAATGGAATATATTGTGCTATAAGAAATGATGAACCAGTTGATTTCAGAAAAAACTGGAAAGGCTTGTATGGTCTGATGCTTTGTGAAGTGAACAGAACCAGGCGAGCATTGTACACAATAACAGCCACGTTGTGTGATGACTAATATTAATGAACTTAACCCTTCCAAGCAATATAAGAATCTCTAAAGTCCTCATGATGGAAAATACTATCTACACCCAAAGAAAGAACCATGGAATTTGAATGCAGATTGAAGCATATTATTTGCTAAGTATTTTTTTCCTTTTCTGTTGAGTTTTGTTTCCTCTTTCTGATGGTTCCGCGTATTGGTTCTAGTTCTTATTTACAACATCACTAATGTGAAAATATTTTTAATAGGAATGTATATGTATAGCCTATATCAGATTGTATGCCATCTTTGGGAGGGTGGTGGGGAGGAAGGAGGAAAAAATTTTAAACTCAAAAGCATATGGAAGTGATTGTTTATAAATCAAAATAAATTCATTAAAAAAAACAAGCAGCAGTTATGAAATACAATCAGAATGCCTATTTTTTTCACTCTGAGATTACTTTCAAACTAGCTATCTTCCTTCATAACACTAAAAGAAGAGGTCTATCAAGCTTCAGGAAAAACATAATTATCTAATTTCTATTTACTCATAAACATTTTACAGAATTCAATTATTATTTTTAAAGCACATTCTACAGAGTGGTACCGACAACTCACTAAAGTATTTCAACATATGTTAGTTTACTTCCTCTCATTGTAAATTAATACTCTATCAAATTCCTTCATGTATAATCTACATCTCCTTAATCTCCAAACCTCCACCATGAACTAAGATATTTTTAATAGTTTTGTTAACCTAATCTTTTGCTGAAAACCCAAACTGGGAGTTAGTCCTGCTTACTGGGAGAACTTCTTCAGCTTTTTAGCAGTTTTTCTGGCTGGCTCCATTTTTTGAAGATAGATACACAGACATATAGATACATTTAATATTTTCTTTTTATCCTAATGCATTTTAATTTTAATAATAAATTTAAAATACATTTAATGATAATAATTTTAGTCTCCCCCTTCCTGCCCAAGGTAACCATGAGTTGATCCAGATCTAGATCCCCAGGTCTGTATAAATACAAAGTGAGCTGGAACTGCTCAGTAAAGCCCATGGGATCCTCCCTGGGGTTGGGAGAATACTTGGTAATAGCCTGGAGTTCTCCATGCTGCCAGGGCTTGAAACTATAGATTGTGATCAAGCTGCTATCCTTGGAATATTTTCCTGGGAAAATTTTGGCTTGTACCTTGAAAGGGAACATAGAAACTGGGAAGCTGGTGGAGTCTTTGGTAAAGGTGGGTATAGTTTAGGTAGTAGGGTAGCTTGTGGATTGCTAAGGAGAAAATTTTCTAATGACTTAATCCCTGCTTTCACCAATTCCAATTCAACTCTATGCTCTCTTTCCTTTGCGTATGAGTACCATTTGTTCTATCTGTCCCATTCAAGAGGCTGAGTTTCCTTATTCATCAATTTTTGCATTATGTACTCTAATTTGGTCTTATCAAAGCTGCCCCAATGGGGCCAGTGAAGTTTGGGGTGATCACTAGTCAAATCAACCCAATTCTGTCAATACCAGGGATGGTCAAGGCCATATTTCTTATACATTAGAAAGGTACATGTTCATTCTGGGAGTTTGTGAATAGGAACGGCTGTAACTTCCCCCTTCCCTTTCCCAGACATCTGTCCCATTTTAAAGGTGAACACTCAGAGATAATAACAAGACTTAACTACTCAAGTACACACAACAAACAAATACAAGTACATAAAAACACTGATGCAAGTAATGCACATTATGCTAGAAATCCACTTGAATTGCAAAAGTAAGCATTCCACAACAAACTCTAACTAAGCACACAATTAAAATGAAAATTTCAACTGGTTCCACACACACATAAAACCAGATGCACAAGCAATTTTTACGCAAATAAAATTTGATGCATGCAGCAAATAAAAATAAAACCCAAAATAAAAAAAAATCCAAAAAATTTGCCAATTATATATACAAGGGGAAAAAAAAAACAAGCCTAACAAGAGTTATCCAGATCAAGAAAAAGGGGGCCCTGGAACATCCCTCACAATGAAAAGTGGGCTCAATCAAAGGCTAGGTCCAATAGTGGAGTGGGAGTGAGAGCAATGATCTTGCCATATGAGGCATCGTGGTGTCTAGAAAAAGTTTCAGTGGCACCTCATCCGTTCCCCAAGGTACTGGAGAGCAAAAGGCTTCATCTCTATGTGTACACCTTAAAACCACTGTCACCAGTTAATGTCAACAGAATTTTGAATGCAGTCCAGATTGGACCAGTCTCTACCCTGGGGATAGCTGGCTGGAGCCCAAACAGAGGAGGCCAGAGGCAGGTGTGTCAAGAAACAAGTACTAGTTTAATTAGTTTCAGAGTGAGGAAAACACTTGCAAGTGGAAGTCTTCCTGAGTAGGAGGGCTTAACATGTAGGCAGTGATTCTATAAATACTGGGCTGGACTATGACATAATCATTTTTAGGTCTTGAGTTACTGTTGCCATGGGTCCTGTGGGAATGGTATTGTCCAAAGTCTTAGGGGCCATGATTACTTCTGTGGGGTACAGAACCAGAGTTCTGTGACAGGAACAGTAGTACAGTACAAGCAACATGTCAGAGATGTGATGGATGTTGGCTCTCAGGTCCCTGGGAAATAGGGGGAGTGAACACCTGGTGCAAGACATTTTGCCGGAGTGCAAGATCATCCTGAGCTCAACGGATTGTTGTTTTGCCAAGCTCAGTGAACAGTTTGTTTTCTGGGCCTTAGCTCTGCAACATATTTTGACATTTCCTCCTTTTGGCCAAAGGGAGGGGGTCTGAAAGAACCCTTACCCTTAAGGCCAATGAAGGAGAAGGAGGTATATGCAGCCACCTGATATTGCCCCGGCAGTTAATTCCTTGAGCCAGTCTCTGGAGTAGGTGTATACCAGGTGTCATTATTAGTCATTATTTGAAAAGAGATGGGTTGGCCTAGAATGTCAGAGGGAGAAAATGCCAACACACACTTGAATCAGGGTATTGGCGGTTGCGCACATAACAAAAGGGGAGAGGAAAAAAAAACTAGGACAGTAGACTCAGCTGGTGTCCAGAATCTTGAGACAAATGTCTTGTATGGATGTTGGCTGCTTCTAACTTGGTTCACTCAGGAGCAGGGGCTTTCTTCAGATGATCCAGTTTCCCAGCCACACAGGCCTAGGTTTAAACAGTACAATAAAGTTTTTTTCACAGTTCCCATATTTGCATAATTTCTTTAATTTAGGTACAAATCAAATTACATAGAGGGCTCACAATGGATTTGTTCTGAGAAGTGAGATTCACATGTGACATAATACTTTATTCTTAGGACAACTCTAAAGAAGGACTGCTTCTCTGGTTCCAAATCTAGAGCGTCTCACTTAATCTAATTCAATCACCTAAATGTGGTTCTCCAACTTTGAAACTTCAGAGAATTCCTGCTTCTATTCTTACCTAAATCCTATATCTCATATTACGTTTGATAGAATTCATTTGGAAATCTCTTTGGTTATAGTACTTTTTCTTAGGAAGCTCATTTAAGGCCAGTTCGTCTCCTTTTAAAATTATCAGACAAATACTAGGAAAAATGAAAATAATTTCACTTTCTTTATCATTATCAAAATAATTTATTTGTAAAATCCAATCAATCCTTACTCAATAAAATTTTAGAACTTATTATCAAATCATACTGAAAGCTTGAATTTCCATGATAGATAAATTTGGAAACCAATCATACAGTTCATAGAGAAAATAGTCTAATGTTGTTACTTTTTTTCAAAAGTTACTATTACGAGGTCAGCTAGGTGGCATAGTGGATAGAGCACCAGCCCTTGAGTGAAGAGGACCTGAGTTCAAATCTGAGCTCAGACACATAATACCTCCCAGCTGTGTGACTCTGGGCAGGTCACTTAACCCCAGTTGCCTCATTTAAAAAAATAGTCCTAAAAGTTACTATTCCGTTTAATTAGAAAACTTTTACATTATATCTTTGTCTTACTACTTTGTTTAATTATTTCTCCTTTCGAAGGATATCATTTCTATATTATAATTTGACCACAAATATATGTTAAAATTGTAAGATATTCATACTTGCATCTTATTATAATGACTGAGAGATGTTTCAGTATCAATCTATTATTTAATATTTAGTATTATACTTACAAAAATTCTTTGTTACAGAAATTAGTTATAAAAGGAAAAAGAGGTACATAGTTATATCATAATAGAGGGAATCCTCCTTTAGCTGTGTTAGAGAAAAAATTTCCTTATCTCTGTTTGAATCCAGGCATGAGTCATATCTGACAGCCAATCATGTAGTCATAGAGTTTTAAAGGCAAGGCTTACGATTAAACAGGTGGTGAATTTTCCTTTTCAGCAAGAAAATAGCACAATGGGGAAATGGGGTCAGGAAGATCATAGGATTCTAGGTAGGTAGACCATGTCCTAGGTCATCCCCACATTGGTTTCCCAGTCGCAGACATCCACCTTAGCAGTCCCCACACTGGTGCACATGCCATTTTCTACTAATGGCTGCATGACAATTCAGACAACTATGCCAGTAAGTAATGCTCAAAACAATAATAAGTAATGTTCCAGAAATTTTTACCTTCAATAGCAAAATTTCACTAACCTTAACTTAGGGCTTGAATATTTTTCCTGATGTTTCCCTAACAGTCTATCTTTCATTAATCCTTTACTTACACATTAAAACTGCCCATATTCTGGGGCTTCAGATATACAACAAATACTCAATAGTTCAGTCATCATTAATATGTCGAAGCTACATCTTTAAACCACTTTGTCTCCTTTCCTAATAGCCAAGATTTTCAAATGAATATCTGCTATTATAATAAATAGTAGTAGTAGTAGTAGTGGTAGTAGTAGTAGTAGTAGTAGTAGTAGTAGTAGTAGTAGTAGTACCTGTTTTATAACTAAATAAACCGCATTGAATATTTAACAGTTTACAAATATCCAGTTTTTATCACATATTTTTAAAAGCCTGATTCATATATAACAACATCCATATTAAAAATTGCTTTGTCTACCATCATTTCTGTTACAATAGTCTCTCAAATTTTGCAATGTAAGAGAATTTAGAAATATAATAATAACCCAAATAATAAACTTCTAATGACATCAATTGCATTCTCAAATGATCACGTATTAAAATCCTTGATCTTATTAACTTTGGCATTTTAAAACCACTTTAAAAGTATCAGTTATGGGACAATTACATTAAATTAGAGAAATAATAATAATGTAGTGCTTAGCATAGGCCAGTCACTGTGTTACTCAGTCATTTTGCAACCATTAAGTCATTCTGATCTCACAAAAATAACCATTATTATTTTTCTCTTTACAAATCAGGAAAATAGAGCAAAAAGAAATAAAATAACTTTCCTAAAATTACACAGCTAATAATTTTCTGCAATGGAATACAGAAGGGTAGGCTTACCAAGGGCAGAGGCTGGCTGTTTTCTCTATCTCATATTGCTATGCTAGGTGCTGCCAGGGGCACCCAGACCCTCCCAGGTAGAAGCTAGGTAGGACCTGCCAAAGGCTGGCCCTGCCCAGAGACAGTGACTGACTAGGTTCTGGGGGGAGATGGTATGGCAGAGAGCACTGCCTAGGGGGCTGAGGTTGCTGATGCCAGGACTATCCCATAAGTGGTAATCTCTGTTGGGAAGGCAAAGGAAATGCTGGCCATGGGGCCTGACACCACCTCCCCACCCCTCAGCCAGCTGCAGGCACTGCTTGGGCTGGGGCCATGGTGGGCAGGATGTGGGGGCAGAGAGTTTCCCCACAATTCTCCAGCCTTCTCTTTCCCTAACACTGATATTTCTGACTCTGATCTGGTATGAGAGGCATTAACAGAAAAACATCAGCTGTAATGGTCTTGTTACCAATCCCCACAACTGAGACATATTTATAACACTGGGAGAGTAAAGTGAGGAAGGCGAAGGGGATTATTAAATACCCTCCTCCTCTTGCCACCCCTCCCCAGAGCTGCATCATGCTGAGAAATGAGCACTTTCTGGAGTGCTTTCCCTTTTTCAGCATCTAACCTAGATTTTATTTAAAGGGACCATACTTTCCTTTCTTAATGGTACAGAAAGGACTGGAGGACAAAATAGGATAAAAATGAAAAGTCAGGGAAGGGTTAACAAGAGGTTGTCATATTGTTTACCTATTTTTTTTCTTCACTTTCTTCAGTCTGGAATTTCTACCAACTAGCTTTCCTTCGTTGCCCTAGAACAATAAAGCCATTAATAGGACCAATTTTTCGTTAACATTTTTAAAAACATTCATCACATTTAATCCTTATTTTTACTTAAAGCAAATTTTATAGAGTAGTACCTCAAAACTTAATAAGAAGTTTCAGAAGGGAGTGAGTTCCTGGAATTACCCCCAAAGTCTCAGGATTTCTCTCCTGTAGTCTTAAGATAACTAATAGTCAAACTCCTTAATGATTAATCTCAAAACCTCCAGAATCTCCTAAGATGTTTTAGTGGTTCTACAACTTTGCTTATCTACCTTTATTTCTATAGTTCCAACATGGCCAGTGTTGTAACTACAGAAAAAGTGTCTTACACACTTTTCCTCTTCTCTTATAGCCTAATCTCCCACAGAAAGTCTAAGTGGGAGTTAGCCCTTCTTACTAGGACAACTGAAAATTCATTAATCTTTCCCAGTTTTCTCTAGCTGCAGCCTTTAGAAGTTTTTCTGGCTAGCTACATTTTCAAATCTTTCAAGATAACAGAATCTAGCTCACAACAGAAACATGACACAGACACTCTGCATCTTATAAAGACACACAGATGCAGACAAAATGACAAGACAAATACAAAGTGCACAATTAAAATGTTAATTTCAATTTATTCCAGAGACACACAATCCACATACATAACTAATTAAACAGACCAGAGGCTTACACAGATACAAATTTACCAGACACATGCAAAACAAAAAGAAAAACCCAAAGGCATGAAATTAAGCCAATTAATTTGTTTGGGAGGAAAAAAAGGCCTTGCCAGAATGATCTGAGCAAACCTGGTCAGGAAAGTGGGGCCCTGGAGTTTTTCATAACAAAAAAAATGCCAGCTCAATCAAGGGTAAGCAGATAATGAAACAGGAGTGAAAGCAATGAACTTGCCAGATGAAGCTGGGCCAGACTGTGGAGAAACTCCAGGGGCACCAAGTCTGTGTGTCTGGTACTAGGGAGCTCAAGGATTCACCTCCATGTCCACCCCTAAAGACCATTGTCATCAACTAATGTCAACAATTTGGTATGCAATCCAGACTGGACAAGTTACTAACCTGGAAATGGCTGACAGGAGGCAAAAGACAGCATGCCCGTAGCAGGTGTGTCAGGAATCAAGTAGTGGTTTGATTAGTTTCAGAGTGAGGGAAAACACTTGCAAGTGGAAGTCTTCCTGACTAGGAGGGCTTAATATGTTGGAGTAAAAGCAATGCTTCTATACATTCTGGGCTGGACTATTACATAACCATTTTTAGGTGTTGAGTTATTGTTCCCATGGGCTCTGTAGGAACAATATTGCCCCAAATCTTGGGGTTGTGATTATTTCTGTGGGGTACAGAACCAGATTTCTCTGCTAGGAACAGAAGTACAGTATAAGCAACATGCCAGAGATTTGATGGATATTGGCTTTCAGGTCCCTGAGAAATAGGGGAAGTGAATACCTGGTACAACACACTTTGCCAGAGAATGAGATCATCCAGAGCTCAAAGGATTGTTGTTATGCCAAGCTTAGGACATAGCTTGCTTGCTGGGCCTTAGCTCTGGAAAATAGGATATTTCCAAAATATTTTGATAACACGCATATGCTGTTGATACCTAAACCAGGAAGACCTAAGACAGAGAAAGAAAAGTATAGACTAATTTTCCTAATGAATAGTGTTGTAAAAACTTTTATAAAACACTAGCAATGAGATTACAGTAACATATCACCTGGATTGTACATTATGAACAGGTGGGATTTTCACCAAGAATGCAGGACTAGTTAAGTACTAGGAAAACTACCACCTTAAGTGACCATTATTAATAGCAAAACCAACAGAAATCATATGATTATCTCAAGAGATGCTGAAAAAGTTTTTGACAAAATATAGCACCCATTCTGAGTAAAAAAAAAAAAAAACAGAGACCATAAGAATAAGTGGAGCTTTCCTTAAAATGGTAAGTAGTATCTCTAAAATCATCATCAAGTGTTATCTGTAATGGGGATAAGCTAGAAGCCTTTCCAATAAGATCAGGGGAGAAACAAAGATGCCCACTACTATTCAACATCACACTAAGAGAAGTAATGGAAAGAAATAGAAAGGGCAATTAAGAAGTAAAATATCACTCTTTGCAGATGATATGATTGTATATTTAGAGAATTCTGGAGAATCCACTAAAAACTAGTTGAAATCATCAACACCTTTAGCACAGTTGCAGGATATAAACTAAACCAACATAAATCATCAATAAATATATATATATATATATATATATATATATATATATATATATATATATATATATATATATATATATATATATATATATATATATATATATATATATTATATATAATAACGAGCAAACCCAGCAGTAAGAGATGGAAAGATAAATTCCATTTAAAATAACAGTAGACAATTTAAAATACTTGCGAGTCTACCTGCCAAGTTAAACTCAGGAACTCTATGAATATAATTGCAAAACACTTTTTACACAAATATCAAGTCATATCTAAATGACTGGAAAATATTGTTTGCTCATGGGTAGCTTGAGCCAATATAATACAGAGGACAGTTCTACCTAAATTAATTTACTTAATTCAGTGCTATACCAATTAAACCACCAAAATGATATAGAAAGAAAAAAATCATAACAAAATTCATCTGGAAGAATGAAGAGTCAAGTATTGAAAGCAAATTAATGAAAATAAATGTAAGGAAGGTGAGTTAGCCATACCAGATCTTAGAATGTATTATAAAGTGGTAATCATCAAAGCTATCTGATACTGGCTAAGAAATAGAGTGGTGTATCCGTGGAATGGATGAGGTACACAGGACACAGTAGTCAATGACCATAATAATCTTGTATATGATAAACCCAAAGATCCCTGCTTATGGGACAAGAACTCACTATTTACATAAACTGCTAGGAAAATGGAAAACAGTATGGCAGAAACTAGGTATAGAGCAACATCTTGCATTGTATACCAAGGTGATCTACCCAAAGGAATGAATTTTGATCACATAAACCTCACAAGATATCTTGGGGTTTAGAGACTAGATTTTTTCTCTTCCCTACTTATTTATTTTATCATTTAAAAATAAAACTGGGACAATTATCTCTTCTGTCCAATCTACTTCTGTTTATGAATTCTTGAAAAAGAGCTCTAGAAAACTAGAGCTTTGTTAAAGCTGATTGGGATTCAAATCCAAATCACTCTGGCTCTCACTGACTGGCCAATAATAGGACCTGGCCTAATCCTCCCTTGGTCTTTGTTTGTGTTTTGATGGCTCAGAGTCAATGTAAATAGCGATTGTTTCTGTTCTGGCTAGAAATACTGAGAGTCTTCCCCTCCTGGATCTCTTTTTTTTGTTGTTGGATTTTTTTTGAGTAGGCAAACTAAGGAATCTTTTGCCTCATTTCTTATGTACCCTTAAATCACTGAATGATATTGTCTCATAGAAACTGAGACCTTAAAAGCTTAAAAAGGCCAAGGTATCCCACTGCATTTGGGGCCATTTCCAGTCATCCTATCCTTTGTCTTGCCACTGAAATCAGATAACTCTGGAAGAAAGAGTGAAGCTGAACAGCCCTGTCTCACCTAAATACAATTTACTTGCAAAGCAAGACATCACCCTCCAGACTTCATTGGTCCTCTTCCAGTACAAAGGATGAACACCAGCAAGCAGCACAACAACAAAAACAAGGTAAGATCAAATTGTGAAGATGATTTAGATAGAGTAGGTGATACCATAAGCAAATTAGGAGAGCAATGAACAGTTTTTCCTGTCAGATCTACAGAGAAGGGAAAATGTTATGATCAAACAGAAGAGAGAGAATATTATGATATGTGAAATGGACAATTTTACTTGTATTCAATTACAAGGTTTTGCAACAAGAAAACCAATGCAAAAAAAATATTAGAAGGAAAGCAGACCTGGAAAAAAATTTGTAACAAGTGACTTTGTTACAGGACTCAATTGTCAGATATATAGACAAGTACATCAAATTCTTAAGATTAGAAGTGATTGATAAATAGTTAAAGGATATGATCAGACAATTTTTTTTTTTTTCATTTTATTTTTAATTTTTAAATATTTTATTTTTTCCATTTTTTCATTTTATTAATTTCTTTTGATTTATCAACAATCACTTCCACATGATTTTGAGTTCAAAATTTTTCTTCCCCTTTCTCCCCTCCCTCTACCCTCCCCAAGACAGCGCACAATCTGATATAGGCTTTACATTTACATTCCCATTAAACATATTTTCACATTAGTGAACGTGTAAGTAAAAATTAAAACCAATAGGTGGAAACATCAGATAGATGAAACAAAAGTCAACAAAAGGTAAAAATAAGTGATAGTGATTTGACTTCCATAGTTCTTTCTTTGGATGTAGACAGCATTTCCCATCTTGAGGCCTCTGGAGATGTCTTAGGTCCTTGTAACACTGAGAAAGGTTCAATTTAACAATATTAGTCATCGCATAACGTGGCTGCTATTGTGCACAACGTCCTCTTGGTTCTGCTCATTTCACTCAGCAGCAGACCATATAAGCCCTTCCAGGTTTTTCTGAAGTCAGCCTCTTCATCATTTCTTATAGCACAATAGTATTCCATTACATTCATATACCTCAACTTGCTCAGCCATTCTCCAATGGATGGGCATCTTCTCAACTTCCAATTATTTGCCACCACAAAAAGAGCTGCTATGAATATTTTTGTACATGTGGGTCCTTTTCCCATTTGTTTGATCACTTTTGGGATTAGCCCTAGAAGCTATTGCTGGATCAAAGGGTATGCACATTTTTGTAGCCCTTTGGGCATAGTTCCAAATTGTTCTCCAAAATGGTTGGATCATTTCACAACTCCACCAACAATGTATTAGTGTTCCAATTTTCCCACATCTTCTCCAACATTTATCATTTTCCTGTTTTGTCATGTTGGCCAATCTGATAGGTGTGATGTGGTACCTCAGAGTTTTTTTTTGATTTCAGCATTTTTTTC